ATCAAAGTGAAAAAAAAATATCTTTATTTTTTGCTTATTTTGAATTTTTCCCCCTCCTCTCTTTCTCTCTCTCTCTGTTTTATTTTAAATCCGTTATTTATTTTAATTCAGAATTTCTGAACCGCCTTAGTATTTTTTTTATTTTCTTTTTTAATATTTTTACCCCAAGTGTAATTAAAAATTTTTTTTTTTAATATTCGTCACTCGCCATTTTTAATATTAAAAATTAAATATCAGATTCGTTATCAGCGACCCCGGAAACCCCCAAGTAGCAAGTTTCAGAAGAATTCATGAATTTTTTAAAAATTCGGCCGCCATTTTGGATCCGCCATTTTGAATTTTTAAAATCTGACTTTAAATTCTTAATCAGCGACCTCAAAAACCCCCAAGTAGTAAATTTCAGTAGAATTCGTGAATTTTTAAAAAATTCGTCCGCCATATTGGATCCGCCTTTTTGTATTTTTGAAATCTGACTTCTGATTCGTAAGCAGCGACCCCAAGAACCCTCGAGTAGCAAGTTTCAGGAGAATTCGTGAATTTTTTTAAAAATTCGGTCGCCATATTGGATCCGCTATTTTTAATTTTCAATAATTAACACCGAATTTGTAATTAGCGACCCCAAAAACCGCCGTGTAACAAATTTCAATTGAATTAATAAATTTTTTAAAAATTCCACGGCCATTTTTTATTTTCACTTTCATTTTCACTGACACAATTTTTATTTTCACTTTTATTTTTACTTTCACTATAACAGATTTTTATTCTCACTTCCACTAGGATTTTTATTTTCACTTTCACTTTAACAGAATTTTATTTCCATTTTAACATTTTAATAGATTTTCACCTTTTCAGTATTTTAATTTCAAGTTTTATTTTCACTTTCATTTTCACTTTGATGGAATTTTTTCTCAATTTTATTTTCACTCTCATTATTTTTTAATTAACAATTCCCACTTTCACTTTGATTTATTTTTATTTTCACTTTCATTTTCTATTCTCTTTTGAGAGATATTAAATTTCTCTTTCCATGAATGTGAAAGAGAAATTAAAAATGTATCAAAGTAAAAATGAAATGAAAATTAAAAATTTGTCAAAGTGAAAATGAAAATGAAAGTAAAAATAAAAAAATCTATTAAAGTGAAAATAAATATCTATCAAAGTGAAAATGAAAATGAAAATCTATTAAAGTGAAAATGAAAGTGAAAATTAAAATTAAAATCTATTAAAGTGAAAATGAAAATAAAAATCTGTCATGTGAAAGTGAAAGTAAAAATAAAAAATGTATGAAATAGAATATGAAAATGAAAATGAAAGTGAAAATGAAAATCTATTAAAGTGAAAATAAAAATCTGTCATGTGAAAGTAAAAATGAAAGTAAAAATAAAAAAGGTTTAAAAATAAATGTGAAAATAAAAGTAAAAATAAAAATCTGTTGTGTGAAAGTGAAAATAAAAGTAAAAATAAAAAATGTATGAAAATGAAAGTAAAAAAAATTTGTCATGTGAAAGTGAAAATGAAAGATAAACAAAAATGAAAAAAAAGGTTCATTTTTAAAACGAATGTGAAAATGAAAATAAAAAGTGTATAAAAAAGAATGTGAAAATGAAAGTGAAAATAAAAATCTGTCTTGTGAAAGTGAAAGTAAAAATAAAAAATACATGAAAAAGAATGTGAAAATGAAAGTGAAAATGAAAATTAAAATCTATTAAATTGAAAATGAAAGTGGAAATAAAAATCTGTCATGTAAAAGTGAAAATGAAAGTAAAAATAGAAAATGTATGAGAATGAATGTGAAAATGAAAATAAAAAGTGTATAAAAAAGAATGTGAAAATGAAAGTGAAAATAAAAATCTGTCTTGTGAAAGTGAAATTAAAAATAAAAAATGCATGAAAAAGAATGTGAAAATGAAAGTGAAAATTAAAATTAAAATCTATTAAACTGAAAATAAAAGTGGAAATAAAAATCTGTCATGTAAAAGTGAAAATGAAAGTAAAAATAGAAAATGTATGAAAATGAATGTGAAAATGAAAGTGAAAATAAAAATCTGTCGTGTGAAAGTAAAAATGAAAGTAAAAATAAAAAATGTATGAAAATGAAAATGTAAATTAAAATCTATTAAAGTGAAAATGAAAGTGATTATGTAATTAAAAGTAAAAATGAAATTACGTAATCATCCCCAAGGAATAAAAAAATGTATGCAGCAAAGAGTTGAATGAAAGTGGAAAATATGTTCTTGGAAGTGACTATATAAACAGAAAAAAAACTGAACTCTTGGCCAAATATTTGTCTTTTGGGTAAATTTATCATTTTAATTAATATATATATATACATCTGTAATCGTTGTCATACAAAATGATTTATACACCAGCATAATAAGAGAATTACTTAACAGCAACATTAGCGCAACTATTATTATAGTCAAATGTTCATAAAAATGCACTATTTTATTTATTAGTGAAACTTTTCGTATAGCACACCTCTGCCAAGCCAAAAATGCTCTAGATTTATCATTTTTGTGCCAAGAATTTCTATTGGGCATAAAAAATGTTTACAAATTGCCATTTTTTTTATAATATTAAATGTGAATTAATAATTTGAAAGTTTCGCTAAAATTTTATTTTTAAATTTAGAATACGTCAAGGACCTCTAAAAACTCCCGGGGAATAAACTCTCAAGCAAAAAGAAAAATATGATTTAAAAAAAAAATAAGTCCACTGTTTTTTATTCCGTAGCATATAACTGAGTTTAAATTCATAATTAGCGACCCCAAAAACAAATTTCAGCAAAATTCGTGAATTTTTTAAAAAATTCACCGCCATATTCAATCCACCATTTTGAATATTGAAAATCTAATATCAGATTCGTATTCAGCGACCCCAAAAACCCCCAAGTAGGAAATTTCAGCAAAATTCGTGAAATTTAAAAAAATTCTTCCGCCATATTGGATCCGCCATTTTGAATTTTTTAAATTTGACCCTAAATTCGTAATCAGCGACCTTAAAAACTCCCGAGTAGCAAGTTTCAAATGAAATTGTGGAATTTTTAAAAATTCGGCCGCCATATTGGATCTACCATTTTGAATTTTAATTAATTAACACCGGATTCATATTTTTAATTTTCCAATTTTTTTTTAATTCGATTTAATTTGATTGAATTCAATTCGATTCTGCATAATTTTAGTCGATTATATTTAATTCGATTTAAATGGATTCAATTCAATTCAATTTTACTTGATTCAAATATATTCAACTTAATTCGATTCGATTCCACGTCATTTTAGCCGATTATATTTAATTCGATTTAAATAGATTCAATTCGATTAAATTTGATTTAATTACATTCAACTCAATTCGATTCGATTTTATTCGATTCAATTTGATTAAATTCAATTTGAATCGATTATATTCAATTCAATTCGATTTAATTTGTTTTAATTTTATTTACATCAATTTGATTTGATTCAAATCGAATCGATTTGATTCAATTTCATTTTAGTAATTAAATTTTGTTCGATTAGATTTAATTCAATATAATTCAGTTTTATATTATTTAGTTTTAATATCATTTAATTCAATATTTAATTTAATTTAATTCGATTGTTTTTGAATTCGATTTGATCTACGTTATTTTAGTCGATAATATTTAATTCGATTCGATTTCATTCGATTCAATTTGATTCAATTCAATTTGAATCGGTTACATTCAATTCAATATGATTTCATTCGTTTTAATTCGATTTTATTTGATTTAATTCGAATCGATTCGATTAAATTTTATTACATTTAATTTAATTTGGTTCGAATAGATTTAATTCGATTTAATTATGTTCTATACTTTTTAGTTATGATACGATTCAATACGAATCGATTTGATTCAATATTGTTAAATTCAATTTAATTTGTTTCGATTAGATTTAATTCGATTTTAATTCGAATCGATTCAATGTTTTTTTAGTTTTGATTCGATTTAATTCGATATTAAATTTAATTAAATTTTATTCAATTCGATTCATTCCATTCGTTTTATTTCAATCTGATTCGATTATATTCAATTCAGTTCGATTTAATTCGTTTCAATTCGTTTTGCTTCAATATTATTTGATTCAATTCCAATAGATATGATTCAATTATATTACATTTAATTTAATTTAGTCCGTTTAGATTTTAATTCGATTTAATTCGATATTCAATTTAATTTCATTTGATTCAATTTAATAAATTTCAGCTGGATTTTACTCCCGTTATTTTGATTTAATTTGCTGACGATCATTTTAATTCGATTCAATTTGATTTGATTCGATTTGATTCGATTTATTTCGATTAGATTTGATTAAAATCGATTTTATTTGATTCAATTTTATTCAATTCTATTATATACGATTAAATTAAATTTGATAACATGGAATTTGATTTGTTTCAATTTTATTCAATTCCATTCAATTATTGCAATATAATTGAATATTATTTATTACTTAATTTAAAAAAAAAATCTCACTAAATAAATATACGAATTGACGTTTAAATGTAAGCAATATTTTACCAGATGCATTCAAACCAAATATAAATATTAACAAAATTTGCTAAATAAATTGACAATGGAAACATGAAAAGTAGGTACTTTTAAAATTCAAGGTGAAATATTAAGGAGTATATTAAACAATAATAAAATTTATCGCAAAGCCATATAATCGACAAGACTTGGGTAAATTTTTTCCCACACAGCATTGAATTTATATTAATATTTTCACTATCATAATCTTAGACTTAAATTTAAAAAATGAAATTTAATTAAAATTAGGAATATTATTATTTTATGAAAAAAAAAAATTATGAAATATTAATTTTTTTTTCTTAAAGAATTTATTACTATATTTTTTACATTATTAATAAGTTATGTACAATTAAAATTTGGTGTCTCTATTCATTCACATTATTGTAAATCTTCATTATATCTTCATTATATATTATATCTTCATTATATATTATATCTTCATTATATCTTACATTATATTATTATCTTCATTATCTTCATTATCTTCCTCCTTACTCTGCAAGAAATAATAATTAATACGATTAATTATGATATGTAAAAATAATAATTAATAAATGTAATTGTAAAAATTTTAATAAAATCGAGTTTACTGTAAAGAAATTCAATTCGACTTAATTTGCCTCAATTTAATTCAATCCGCTTCAGATCGATTTAATTCCATTCAATACAATTTGATTCATTTTGATGCAATTAAATTCGATTTAGTTTGATTCAATTCATTTCGCTTTAGTTTGATTTAAACTGTTGCAAATCCATTTATATTTTTTAATTGTAAAAAAGGTTCGAATCGATTCAATTTGATTGAATTTAATTCGATTCGATTTAATTTGATTGGATTTATTTAGATTTGATTCAATTTAATTGAATTTAATTTGATTCGAATGAATTTGATTGCATTTAATTCGATTCAATTTCAATTAATTTAATTCGATTCAATTTGATCAAATTTAATTCGAATCGATTCAATTTAATCAAATTTAATTATATTCGATTCAATTTGATCAAATTCAATACGATTTTACTCGTCTCAATTCGATTTAAATTTATTAAATTCAATACTATATTACTGGTCTCAATTCGATTCAATTTAATTCGATTTTATTGGGTTCAATTCAATTTCAATCGATTTAACATAATTCAATTCGATTAAATTTGATTGTATTCAAATTAATTTGTTTCCAATTGAATTTGACTCAATTCGACAAATTAAGTCGAGTTGTCATTGAACTTAATTAAATTAAAATTCAATTTAACTCGATTTATTTCGATTTCATTTGACTAAATTCAATTTAATTCGATTAGAGATTTGATGCAATTCCATTAAATGAAACTAGAATCAATTAATTTCCATACAATTCTGTTCAATTCTATTGAATTCAATTAGATAGAATTCTATTACATTTAATTTGTTTTAATTTAATTCCATTAAATTCGACTAGACTTTAATCACTTCAGTTCGGTTAGGTTAGATTTAATTCGATTCGATTCAATTTAATTTTATTTACTATGATAATAATCAGTTCAATTCAATTCTGTTCGATTTGATTTCATTCAAAAAAATTTGATTCAATTATATTTCATTCGACTATAAACAATTCGATTTAATTCGATTCAATTTTATTTAATTCGAATATTTTCAATTTAATTCGATTCGAATCAATTTTATTCCATTCAATTCGTTTCAATTTTACTCGATTGTTTTTTAATTTTGGTTCAATTCTGTTTATCTTGAATTAGATTTGATTTAATTCGATTCAATTCGAGTCGAGTCAATTTAATTCAAATTGATTTAATTAAAAGATAAATATTTCGATTTAATTCAATTCGAATTTATTCAGTTTCGATTCGATTCAATTCGATTTTATTCAGTTTCAATTCGATTTAATTCGATTCAGTTTTGAATTGTATCAAAGTAATCGCAAATATTATTCAGAATTAAATTTTTTTTTATTTGACGATAATTATTCGTTAAATATAATATTAATAAAAATAAACTATTTTGATGCTTACCAATGTTTTAAATACAAGCACAGATGGATATAAGTTATTAATTGTATTTTTGCTTACATTTTCTTTAAGATCAAAAATATTATCAATAGATTTTAATTCCTTCAAGAAAGATTGTAAATATTCAATGAAATTTAAATTGTATATTGTGTAACTTGGATCTTTTAAATGTAATTTAGTATTAACAATATACTTAATTGAATATTTAAATATTAATTTAATAATCAAAAAAAAGTTCACTTCATTCTCTGTTAATTTTGTCTTTTCATTATTAGAATTTATATCTTTTATTATTAAAAATGTTAAATTATCCAAAACATTCTCAGCCTTTTTACAGTAACTTACAGCTTCACTATTATGATTATCAATTGAAATTTTATTTTTAAATATATTTCCATTTATGATCTCTGCTATTTTCATAATTTCCTTATAATAGGAAGCAAATTGTTCTACAGAACATTTTATAATTGTTTCGTAATTCGTGAAAATAATATTGAAACTCGTATGTAAAATATTCCAAATTTTTATTCTCTGTCCATGTAGATAAAAATCCTTGGTCTGTAAATTTTTTTAATTATTTATATAATTATCGTTAATTCATTCTTAAACTATTTATAATTATTTATTAAATTTTGCTATTAATTAATTTTTCTTAATAATTTGTTAATATCATTTTTAATTATTAAAAAAAAAAAAAAAAAAAAAAAAAAAAAAAAAAAAAAAAAAAAAATTTGTTTTTAATAATTAGTTAAACTACAATTTCTAATTAATTAAAAAAATTTAATTTTTTCCATAACTTAGTGAATAATAAAATAAGTAAATAAATAAAACTCACCTTAGAATAAATAATAACCATATTATTCACAGCCGCACGTGAATTTAATGATTCTAGTGAAATTTTTTTTTGAAATTTCTTAATAATGACATTCTCAAATACTTTAAGATCCAATTTACAGATGTAATAATATCTTGAATGAACAATTGGATTTAATTGTTTTGTAATATTTACAGTTTGATTAATAATTATTGTGAATAGTTGAATTGTTTTCTTCAAATAATTTGCAAATTTAATGCGATTATTATATCTTATATTTGCTTTATTATTTATTATTTGATTTTGACTAATGTTATTTCTCCCTCTTTTAAGTGATGTTAATGTTAAATTACTATTTTTACTTTTATGTTCAATCATTTTTTCCAAATTATCAAACTTTTTTAATAGTACATCATTATTTTTGAAAGAAAAAATATTTAAGATTATTTTCCAATAATCATTTAATACAGTTTTTATATCAGAATAAAATGTTTTAATATTGTTATCGATTATTTTAATTTTATTTTCTTGTTGTTGTTGTCGTTTCCTTCCGGTTGTTAAAAAATAATTTGTAACACTTTCATTATAATTGGTTGCAACTGCTTCAAAATAATTGAATATTGTTGATAATTTCTCACTAATATTATCAATGTCAGTGACGTTTAATTCAATTTTTTTCAATATTGGCTTCTGTATAAATAAAAAAAAATTTTTTTTAAAGAAAAAATATAAAATTTCTATAAAATATGTGTTTGTCACAATAAAAGTAAAACTAAAGTGTAAATGTAAGTGAAATTTACAAAAAAAAAAAAAAATTAAGAAAAAAAACATTCATTAAACATTAAAAAAAACATTCATTAATCATTTTAAAAAAATACATTTATTAAACATTTAAAAAAAATTAATTTATTAAACATTTAAAAAAAATTTTTTTAAATTATTTAACATTTAAAAAAAAAACATTCATTAAACATTAAAAAAAATTTTTTTTTAAATTTATTAAACATTTAAAAAGGACATATATTAAACATTTATTAAACTTTTGAAAACTATTAGTTTTTCAAAAATAAAATAATTCTTTTTATTACCTTTATGAGTAAAGAAAATATTTCCCTCACTTGCTCGTTAATTTTGTCGCTTGAAAATTGCTTATCAGTAATATTTCCAATTTTAATAAAATATTCATTAGGAATGAAATTTTTTTGAAAATTTTCACTGTCAGTATTATTTTCTTTAAATAACAATTTTTTACGTGTTTCAATTAATTGAAATTCAATTAAACCAATATAATTAAAGGCATTGATTAAAAATTGAAAATTTTTATTTAAATTTTCAAAATTTATTATATATTTATCATTATTTAAATTGCAAATTGTTGATAATTCATTTGTATTTAATTCCGTTGTTTTTCGTTCAAATTCTATTAAAAAATTTATATGAAATTTTTCCAATTCACCATTCAGAATAAAATTATAAGATTTTATTGTTTTAATAAAATTATTAAGCAAATTGGAATAGAATTTTAAATTTTTTTCTAATTTTTCATTGTTATTATTATTTATTTCATAACAGCTTGCAGCATTTAATTCATTTTGAAAATATCTAATGAAACGGTGAACAATTTTTTTGGTTAAATAATTTATCCATATTATCTTGTGAATTTTTGTTGCATTTTTTTGCTGAAAGAAATTAATATTAGGAATAAATAAATGTAAATTGAAAAATAATATTCTAAATGTTATTGTAAAATAATTCAAATTATTATTTTTTTAAAAATATATTAATTTATATATAAAAAAACAAGATTAAGTAAATAAAAATAATAAAATGTACATGTAAAAAAAATAATAAATAATATTTCTAAATAATAAAAAAAATAATATTTTTTTTTTTTTTTTTTTTTTTTTTTTTTTTTTTAATATGGAAAATTAAAAAATGTTTTACCTCATTTTCTTCATTAATACTATTTGTAATATTAATTTCATGATTTTCTAAAGTCGTTCCATTATTTTGACATGATACGATTAAAATAATATTAGAGATACTAAAAATTATAAAAATCAAAGAATATTTCATTTTACTTTTCACCGTTTCGCAATCCAATAATAACGGAAAATACAAAATAAAATTTACTGAAAAAATTACTTTTAACTAAAGAGAAAAAATTTCCCATTAGAATAAAATAAAAAAACTGAGGACGTTGAGTAAAAAATAAATACATATATATTTGTAGGATTGTATTATTAATTTCTTACCTAGAATGTATATTTTGTGCCTTATCTCAAAATAAACAAAAAAAATATGATTAAGTAAAAATATTCATTAACTTTAATAAAAAAAAAAGAAAATTTATTCAAATATTGATTATTTTTTCAGGTTTCTCTGTTTTGACAGTTAAGCAATATTTTCCAACTATTTTTTTTTATTGTTGTATCAAGCTACAATGTATTATATTTTAATGTTTATTTTAATATGAAATTCTAATTTTTCATTATTTATACAGTTATTATTTTAGTTCATATTTTTTTTATTCATATTTTGTCCTTCAATGTAATATTTTCAACAAAAAAAAATACTTTGTTTCTTTAATCAATATTTGTGGGAAAAAAATATTGATCTTTCTATGCGTCAATTTTATTATTAAAATTATAAAAAAAAAAAAAATTATATAAATTTAAAAAAAAAAATTTTTATTTATATTACTGGGCCACGAAATTTGAACTATTTTTTGAAAAAAAGAGAATAATTTTCCATAATTTTTATTTGTGAATCACAATTTTTAACGGAATTACAATTTTCTTTAAGAAAGAATAGAAAAAATACGTAACTTCTACTGTAAATATAAAAACGAGTACAGATGTGTAATCACAAAGAATATTTAAAATATCTATTATTAAAAAAAGAACAAAAAAAATTTTTTTTTAAAAACTTGAATTATAAAATAGAAATGATGCTAATTTTTTCTTTTATTTATTTATTTAAGTAGTGAACGGGCTTACAAAAAATAAATAAATAAAATAATTTCATTTATTAACGTAGAAATTATGTAAATTTTTTATTTATTTAAAAAAATAATAAATTTATTAAAAATCGTGATTAATAGATAGAAATTATGAAAATTTGTTTCCGAAAATCTACAAAATATATAAAATTGCGTAAAATAAGAGAAAAAAAAATGAGTAAAAATATTTTTAATAATTCTCCTTTTTTTTAAAATATTTTTTCATTAGGTATATATTTTTAACCTTGAAAAATTTTTGTAAAAAAATATTTTCATTATTACGAAAAATAAAAAAAAGTTTCATAATATTTCCAGCGAATTTTATTTTTCTAAATTCACGAGTTTTCGTGCAAAAAAAAAAATAAAATTTATCTTTTAAGTAATAAACATATTGGATATGTCGAAATATTGAAAGAAGACTGTAAAATTAATTCTTTTAAAATTTAGAAAATATTTTTTTCAATGTTTCAAAAAAAAAAAAATTAGCATTTCAATATTTTCGTATTATACTATCTAAAAATATTGATAAGAACCATTACCACATTTTTGCAATGTTTGAAAATTTTATAATTTTTAAATAATAAGAAATATTCTATAAAATGCATAAAAAAAAGGAAAAAATATATACAAAATTTGTAAATTCAAGAGTAATCGCAAAAATATTGCTAAATTCCTTCGAATTACATACTTCCGAAAATTAATATTGTTTTATAAAAAAAATGAAGCAGAAAAGTTCTTTTTGAGAATTTTTAAATTCGTTTATTTATAATTTAATTTTACGTGAAATTTCGATTGTTTGGAAATTTTTCAATTAAATATATATTAGAAAATAATTGTTTGAATTGAAAATTGAAATAATTCCCAAAAAAAAATTCAATTAAACTTTTTCAAAAAATATTAATTACACAGAATTGTTAGTTTAAAGTGTGAAAAATTCTAAATTTCAAAGATTTCAATTATTTCCAAAAATTTACGCTATAATTATTTTAATATTCAATTATAATCTAAAATTTTAACTCAAAATTCATTTTTAAATCAATTTTTATTAGAAAATTCTTCGAGAATTCAATTATTTACACAAATAGAAAAATAAATAATTTATTGAATAATTAAATGTTTTTTAAAACTTAATTTTTATAAAGAATTTTATCAAAAAAAATTTTAAATAATTGAATTATTTTGACGAATTTTTAATAAAATTTTTGAGAATTATTACGTTTCTCGAGGAATTCGATTAAAATTGTAATAAAAATAATTGAAATTCTGCGATGAGATTTATTATTTATGAAAATAATTGAATTCCTGTAAAAAAAAATTTTATTATATTCATGAAAATAATTGAATTCCTGTAAAAAAAAATTTTATTATTTATGAAAATAATTGAATTCCTGTAAAAAATTTTGTTATTTATGAAATAATTGTATTATTGCGATAGAATTTATATGAAATATGTAAATAATTGAATTCTTGTAAAATTTTTATTATTTATGAAAGTAATTTAACTATTTGCGTAGAATTTTATCAAAAATTTTTTTTTAAATAATTGCATTTTTTTTGAAAAATTTGATTAAAACAGATAAAATGAAAATCAATGAATTGAGGAAACTTTTTGAAAATAATTGAAACTTTTCCAAGAATTTTATTAAACTTTTTGAACATAATTGAATTTCTGTGAAGACTTTTATTATTACTTTTGAAAATAATTGGATTTCTAAAAAGAATTTTATTATATATTTATGAAAATAATTGAATCCCTGTAAAAAAAAATTTATAATTTTTTAAAATAATTGAATTTCTGTAAAAAATTTTGTTATTAATAAAAAATATTGCAAAGAAATTTATAACAAAATTTGAAATAATTGAATTCCTGTAAAATTTTTATTATTTATGAAAGTAATTTAAATATTTAAGTAAAATTTTATCAACATTTTTTTTAAATAATTGAATTCTTTTCAAAAATTTGATTAAAATATAGATAAAATAAAAATCATTGAATTAAGAAAAAGTTTTGAAAATAATTAAAATTTATCGAAGAATTTTATTAAAATTTTTGAAAATAATTAAAATTTTTCCAAGAATTTTATTAAAATGTTTGAAAATAATTAAAATTTTTCCAAGAATTTTATTAAAACTTTTGAAAATAATTGAAATTTTTTCTAAAACTTTTATTAAAATGTTTGAAAATAATTGAAATTTTTCCAAGAATTTTATTAAAATTTTTGAAAATAATTGAAATTTTTCCTAAGAATTTTATTAAAATTTTTGAAAATAATTGAAATTTTTCCAAGTATTTTAATAAAATTTTTGAAAATAATTGAAATTTTTCCGAGGATTTGATTTTTCAAAATACACAATTTTTCGTGCAAAAAAATATAATTTAACTACTGTGTAATAAACATATTGAATATGTCGAAATATTGAAAGAAAACTGTAATATTTTAATGCTTTTAAAATTTAGAAAAAATTTTTTCCAATGTTTCAACAAAAAAAAAATTAAGCTTACTTCAATATGTTCGTACACTATCTAAAAATAATGATAAGAACCATTACTAAATTTTTTCAATATTTGAAAATTTTATAATTTTTGAATAATAAGAAATATTCTATAAAATGCATGAAAAAAGGAAAAAAGTATATACAAAATTTAAAAATTTAAAAGTAATCGCCAAAATATTATTAAATTCTCTCTAATCATGTATTAATTTATTTATTTCATTATTTTTATTTTTTTTATTCTCCAAGAATTTTATTAAATTTTTTGAAAATAATTGAAACTTTTCCAAGAATTTTATTAAACTTTTTGAACATAATTGAATTTCTTTGAAGACTTTTATTATTACTTTTGAAAATAATTGAATTTCTGCAATCATTTGTAGTTTTATTAAATTTTTTGAATATAATTGAAATTTTTCTAAGAATTTTATTAAAATTTTTGAAAATAATTGAAATTTTTTCAAGAATTTTATTAAAATTTTTGAAAATAATTGAAATTTTTTCAAGAATTTTATTAAAACTTTTGAAAATAATTGAAATTTTTCCAAGAATTTTATTAAAATTTTTGTTAATAATTGAAAATTTTCCAAGAATTTTATTAAAACTTTTGAAAATAATTGAAATTTTTTCTAAAACTTTTATTAAAATGTTTGAAAATAATTGAAATTTGTCCAAGAATTTTATTAAAATTTTTGAAAATAATTGAAATTTTTTCAAGAATTTTATTAAAACTTTTGAAAATAATTGAAATTTTTCCAAGAATTTTATTAAAATTTTTGTTAATAATTGAAAATTTTCCAAGAATTTTATTAAAACTTTTGAAAATAATTGAAATTTTTTCTAAAACTTTTATTAAAATGTTTGAAAATAATTGAAATTTGTCCAAGAATTTTATTAAAATTTTTGAAAATAATTGAAATTTTTTCAAGAATTTTATTAAAACTTTTGAAAATAATTGAAATTTTTCCAAGAATTTTATTAAAATTTTTGTTAATAATTGAAAATTTTCCAAAAATTTTATTAAAACTTTTGAAAATAATTGAAATTTTTTCTAAAACTTTTATTAAAATGTTTGAAAATAATTGAAATTTTTCCAAGAATTTTATTAAAATTTTTGTAATTAATTAAATTTTAGAGAAGAATTTGATTAAATTTACATATAGATAATTGAAATTTTGACGAGAATTTTTAAAAATTCTAATTTTTATTCAATGCACAATAACTTATTGATTCAATAAAAATTACTTTTAATTCAATTGTAAAATATTTTTAATTCAAACATATTTTTTTTTGGTTGACTACTTATTTTTAAGATTAAAAAAAAAATTTCTCTCCCAGTGTATAATTGAATTTCAGCAAAGAATTTTATTACTTTTGAAAATAATCGAATTTCTGCAATCATTATATAGTAATTTTTCCAAAATTAAATTTTTTTTTCTTGTTTTTAACTAAAATTCTTCTATAAATTCATTATTTTTGATAATCAATTAATTATGTATATTGACAAATTTAACTAATTTTAGAAGAATTTGAATTATTTGATTCTTTTATAGTATGTAGATTATGAAATTTCTTGTTTTTTCGTTTCAGGACTTATTAAAAAAAAAAATTATTCGTCCGTTTTCGGTCATAAAAAATAGTCAATTTGTTGCTAATTTTCTTATACAATTTTAAATACATTTTTTTCAAACTCAAATTATTAGTTAAATAATGGTATTAAAACTATATTCCAATTCATATTTTTTTATGAAAAAAAAAAAAATTTTAATGTTTAATGTTTAATTTTTGAAAATTGTAATTTTATTTTTAAAAAAAGTAACGAGAAGAAGATTTTCGAGAAGATCTTTCGAGAAATAATTGCTATATTTTTAATATTTTAAAGATATTCAGGTGATTAGAAATGAAAGTAAAACACGAATTTCTGGAATTAAGAATATTTATTATATTCAAAATTTTTTCATTTACATTTTTTAAAAATATTTTTTATTATTGCATTATTAATGGGCCTTTACAATAATTTTAGCCTCGTTATGTTTGTTGGATTTGAAAGATTAATTTGACTTGGTCATTATTGAGGCACCATAAAGTGCTAAAGAGGCAATGGTACCTATAACAGCAATACCTATAGTAATTGTTTTCTTCCAAGGACTACTAACAATCACTTTATCTGCTTCAGGTTTCTATAAACATGATAAAGATAATAAATAATTTTTTTTATTTACAAATTAATAATAATATTTTTCTGTTCCTTCAATTTTTTTTTTTTTAGTTTTAATATAGAGAGAAAATTAAACGATAATTTTAAACTTACCGCTAGTTCTAATAGTTTTTTCCCTTTTTCAGATAAAGGGTCTGTTGGTTTACAATTTATCATTTCTGGTGTATTTATATAAGTTAAAAGATCTTTTAATTTCGTGTTAGCCTCTTCCAAATTAGAAACGACTTGTGATTTGTTAGCATTTTGTATGATTTCTGTCAAAATAGAATGGTCTGTTACTGTTCTTCCAGATTTTTCAGGACATTTCTCGATTTTGCGAATAATTGTTTCATTTAGCACGGTGGAATATTGAGAGACAACATATTGAATGCCGAAAGTAATATTTTCTTTTTTTAATATCTGTAAGAAAATATAACAAATTATATTTTAAAAAAAATGAATTTACAAGCGTCAGGCTAAGCGGTTTTCATTTAAAAATTGGGTTTGCATAAGAAAGTCACATGGCAGGGTGAATAAATCGCTTCGCTTAAGTTGTGTCCTCGAAATAACTAATAAATACGACGAAAATTTTTATTTAATTGTTGCACTTACGTCTTTTATTTTGTTGATGACATCTATCTGAAAAATTTAAAATCATAAAAAAATAACATGTGAAAAAAATTATGTTATGAATTATGTTCGTAAAGAATTAATATTTTTAATGCTGTAATTCTTAAACTTACCCATACGGCCACCTCAGCCTCCGTAAAAATTTTAAGTGATCGCATTGTCTCTTTATCGACTTCAACTAAAGTATTGTTTATTTCCTCAAGTTTTGAATTTTCTATTTTTGTATTAGCATCCAATTCATTAATCATTCTATTCAATTCAGTCACGTTACATTTTGGATCATCACAAGATTTCATTTTAGGAATAATGTTGTAAAATCTACTATAGAAATTTTTAATTTCATCTGCAGTTGGTTTTCTTATTTCTGCTTTTGATTCAGTCACCTTTAAAAATATATATAATAGTAATTTAATATTTTTAATTTCATTGCGTCAATTCAATTGAAGAAAAACTCAACAATTGACGATAATCTCCACAAATAGTAGAACATAAATTTGAAATTTTTGAATCATAGTAAATTATAAACTAATTATCAATTTTATAATTATAAACTATCTTGAATTTAAAAAAATAATTATTTTTATTAAAATCTTTTTTTTTCGACAAATAATATTTTTTTTATAATATAAATCATATAATATACTTACCAGTGTAAAAATACAACTGGCAATCAAAAGAAGAATGCCAAAAACTGAAGTATGCATTTTCATTGATATTTTAAAGAATAATTGCAAATATATTCCACAAGTGGAAGAATACGTCCAATTCTTTCTTCAAGCAAACGAACAATGATTCTATTTTTCGATTTTTCGTGCTTAATATTGAAAAACAGCTATCAATCGTGGTGAAAGATAAATTTTTATTCAGGAAAAAATAAAATTGTTGACAATTCTATTTTTCTTTTGGTAATAAAAAAAATATTTTTAATTTAAGTTGATAGAAGAAATGTAAAAAGAAGTTTTTTTTTTACTATATCGATATTTATCGAATTTTATTACTAGACTATAGCAAAAATTCACGCTCTAAAGCGAGCGGCTAACTTCTTACATACTTTTTTAAAAAATAAAATTATCAATTTATAGAATAGAATTTGAAAATTTTTAATAAATTGGATTAAATATTTCAAAATTAATTCAATTTTAAAAGAGTTGCGTTCACAATTTTCATAAATCAACTTTTCAAAATGTTTTAATTTGAAATTATACGAAATTTCAATTTTTAATGAATATAATTAGAAATTTTGAAAAACTTATATTTTTGCAAAATGTTAATAATTCAAAATCTTCTAAAATTAGTTAAATTTGTATTTAATTAATTTTTTTTTGAATGGATTTAATTAATTTTTAAAAATACTGGATTTATAGAAAAATTTTAGTTAAAAACATTTTAAAAAATTGAATTTTGGAGAAGTTGCAAATAATTGCAAAAATTCAATTATTTTCAAAAGTAATAAAACTCTTCTTAAAAAGTTCAATTATATTCAAAATTTCGAAAAAAAAATTATCGTCAAAATCACAATTATCTTTATAAATAATAAACTACGTCTCCAAAATTCAATTATTTTCAAAAATTTTCCTCCCATTTCAATGATTTTCAATATTTACTATTTTAATAAATTTTACAAAAAAAATCAATTTTATAAAAAAATTTTTTTTAATAAAATTGTACACAAACATTTAATTATTTTCATAAATAATAAAAATTTCATAGGAATTCGATTATTAACATGTTATTTTTTTATAAATTTCTTTGCAATAATTCAATTTGTAAATATTAAATTTTTTTTATGAATTCAATTATTATTTTTATAAAATAATAAATTTGTTTTAGAAATTCGAATAATAATTCAATTATTTTTAAAAGTAATAAAATTATTCGCAAAAATTCAATTACACTTTTTTTTAATCCAAGAAACATTTCTTTTTTTAATCCAAAAATATTATTTACTATAAATAATCAAATTCTTCTCTGAAATTCAATTATTTATACAAAAATTTTAATAAAATTCTTGGAAAAATTTCAATTATTTATTTATTTTTAAAAGTTTTAATAAAATTTTTGGAAAAATTTCAATTATTTTCAAAAAATTTTTTTTAAATTCTTGGAAAAATTTTAATTATTTTCAATTTTAGTGAATTGAATTCAATTTAAATAAGTGAATAATTTTGAAAAGAAGAACTTTTTCAAAAATTATGAAAAATAGTTGATTCAGAAAAGAATTTTAGTTAAAAATATGTAGAAAATAATAATTGAATATTTTTTATTTTTTAATACCAAATTTTTTAACAATTAACAATTTTCTATTTTTTATAAATAAGAAGGAAAATAATTTGCAAAATTAAATTTTTTTTTTACTTTTTGTCAAATTTTATTACTAGATGTTTTTGTTTACAAATATTTTCTATTACTTAGAAATTTTGCTTTTTAATTATTTTGGAAAAATTGTTTTTTGGAAAATTAATTAGGATAATTATTTTCAAATTTTTATTGAATATAATTATAAATTTAACAAGAAATTATACTTTAAAATTTTGAAAATAATTAAATTTTTAAAATAAATTTTACAGAATATTTTGGAAATAATTGAATTTTTCGAGATTATTTCAATTTTAGAATTATTTTAATGATTTAAAAAAAAAATTGAATTTTTGAATTATAATTGAAATTTCTTAAGTTTTAAAGAAGATATTTTGAGTATTTTTCAAGAAATTTATTAAAAGTTTTGAAAATTAATGAATTTTACAGAAAACAAGATTTTTATAACCAGAAGGGAAAAATTGAAATAATTGAATTTTTGCAAAGACTTTACTATTTAAAAAAAATTATTAAATTGTTTCAATATGGATTTAATAAAATTTTAGAAAATAATTGAATTCTTTCGTGAAATTTTATTAAAATTATATATTTAAAATAATTGAATTCCTGCGAAAAATTTTACTGTTTATAAAAATAATTGAATTCTTGCGAAGAATTATATTAAAGTTTTTGAAAATATAAACGATTAGGAATTTTTATTAATATTAATTTTGTACTAATTGTATATATGAATTTTGTGACTTAAAGATCTTTAATTAAAATTGTGATAATTTTTCTATAAATCTTGTGTCGAAATTAATTTTTTATTTTATTTTTATTTTTCGCAAAAATGATTTTCGTCCAGTTGACCTACAACATCATTTAATCTTTCCACGCATATTATATCTGATATTTTGATTTTTTTTGGCAAAAATTATGTTTTTTTACACAAAAAAAAATTCTTTCTTATTTCTACGCATAAGTAAAAAAAATTGTTCAAAGTTTATTTTTTTGACCTTCAATGAAAAAGATTGGAGTATTGCACGTGCAAAGTGACATTTTTTTTAATTTAATGCCTCTTAAAAAATGTATTTGTTTTATCAGAATGTTTTAATAGTCAATATATAATTTATCTTGGTAAAAGAAAATTATGCTGCATATATTGAATAAAAAAAAAAAAAAAATTAAAAAAAAAAAAATTATTAAGGGCATTTGAACCATGATGACGTCACAGATTTAAAACTAATGCTTTGCACAAACTGTGACTTCATCAAGGTTCAAATCCCCTTAATTAAAATTTAAAAGAAAAAATTTATTTTAAAATTGTTAAAAATAAACAAAACTGATTAAATAAAAATAATGAAGTAAATAAATTAATACATGATTAGAGAAAATTTAAAAATATTTTTGCGATTACTTTTGAATTTTTAAATTTTGTATATACTTTTTTCCTTTTTTCATGCATTTTATAGAATATTTCTTATTATTTAAAAATTATAAAATTTTCAAATATTGAAAAAATTTAGTAATGGTTCTTATCATTATTTTTTAGATAGTATACGAAAATATTGAAATAAGCTTATTTTTTTTTTCGTTGAAACATTGGAAAAAATTTTTTCTAAATTTTAAAAGCATTAAAATTTTACAGTTTTCTTTCAATATTTCGACATATTCAATATGTTTATTACACAGTAGTTAAAATTATATTTTTTTTTGCACGAAAAATTGTGTATTTTGAAAAATCAAATCCGCGGAAAAATTTCAATTATTTTCAAAAACTTTATTAAAATACTTGGAAAAATTTTAATTCTTTTCAAAAATTTTAATAAAATTCTTGGAAGTAATTGAAATCTTTGAAATTTAGAATTTTTCATATTTTAAACTAACAATTCTGTGTAATTAATATTTTTTGAAAAAGTTTAATTGAATTTTTTTTTTTGGGAAATTACATCAATTTTCAATTCAAACAATTATTTTCTAATATATATTTAATTGAAAAATTTCCAAATAATCGAAATTTCATGTAAAATGAAATTGTAAACAAATGGATTTGAAAATTCACAAAAAGAACTTTTTCAAAAATTATTAAAAATAATTCATGTAAAGAAGAATTTTAGTTAAAAATTCTAGAAAATAATAATTGAATTGAAATGATGGAAATAATTTTGAAGTAGTTGCAGTAACAATACTCTTATAATATAAAATAATTATCACTCAATAATTTTTAATTATTTTAAGTTGATGAATTTCAAAGAGATTAGAATTTGAAATTTTTGAAAATCTTAATGGAAAAATAATAATAATTAAATATTTATTTAAAAAATGATTGATGTTTTCGAATAATTTTACATTTAAAGAAATTCGTAAATAAATGTAACAGAACATTTTCTCGTGAGTCGAATTTTTTCCTCTATTTTCTAAAACTTCAAAAAATTTTCAAAATTTAATTTTTAATTAAAATTTGTAATTGATAAATAGAATTTATAAACATTTTTTCCTTCTATTTTTAAAAAACTTTGATTTTTATTAAAATTTTTTAATTTTGAAAAAAAGAATTTGAATAAAATAAAAGTTTATTTAAACTTTAAATAATTTTGTAAGCAAATAAAATAATTTTGTAAGTATAATAAATAATTTGTCTGCTTTATTTATTTATTTTTTTTTGTAAAAGAATATTAATTGTCTGAAGTGTGTAATTTAATGAAAATTTAGGCAATATTTTTGCGATTACTCTTGAATTTAAATTTTGTATATATTTTCCCCTTTTTTCATGCATTTAGAATATTTCTTATTAATTAAAAATTATAAAATTTTCAAACATTGAAAAATGTGGTAATATATTTCTTATAAAATATTTTTAGATAGTATAATACGAAAAAATGGATTGAAAAAAGTCAACAAAAAATTCAACAATATTAACAAAGTTTAATTTTGAATCAATTAAAAATGAAATTTTGTTTAATTTTGAATTAATTAAAAATGAAATTTTGTTTAATTTTGAATTAATTAAAAATGAAATTTTGTTTAATTTTGAATTAATTAAAAATTTAATTTTGTTTAATTTTTGAATAAAATTTTAATTTTTACATGGGATGTAATATAAAAAAAAAATTTAATAGTAAACAGACGATTTTTGACAGAAAGAAATTTTGGTAAATTTTAATTTTTTTTAGAGTACTTTTTATTGCATTGATAATTTCAATATAAATAAAGTACATTTTAAAAATCTATTTTTTTAATGCGAAGGATGTACTTAGTAGTCCTAGAGAAGCTAGTATACCAGCTAATGAAAAGTACACAATTGAAGGAATCTTCAAAGAATTAGGCTCACTATATAATGTTTTACAATTTTCCTGCAAATATAAAAATATTTTTTAGTTTCTGCATAAACTATTTATAATATATTGAGTTAGTGTTTTCAAACTATTTTTATTCACTATAATTAATAAAGTAAAATGGAAATTGTTCACTTACTAGAAATTTTTTAAAACTTTTTCCTTCCTCACTTAATTTTTTGGTTACATTGCATTTTTCTATTTTCGTGTCCTGCATATCATTAATCACAATTTCTAATATTAACATAGTATATTCCAAATCGGAATTTATCATTTCAATAAGAATATGATTTTTTGATTGTAAATTTTTAATTACAACTTGCTGCATTAATTTCTCATAAAAAGCAATGTTTTTATTAATGTTTGCTGAACAGTGATCGATATTCAGTAAATTATTTTCCAGTCTGGAGACAATTTGCAAGAGAGTAAAATTATTGGTTAAGTCCACATCTTTTGCCGTTAATTTCTGCAAATAAATATTTAAAACAAATTCTAGTTATAAATTCACTTTTATTGGATAAAATTATTTTTTAAATTCATTAAAAATAATAAATTTTTAAATATTCTTTACTTACAGATGTTACTTTAGAAGTAACGTTCCGCTAAAAAAAAGTAAAGAACAAAATCACATATTTTCTAAACTTAACGTAAAAGTACGAAAAGTTTTCATAATTAATTAAATTATTATTTATCAATTATTTATTAATTATTAATTATTAATTATTAATTAAATAATAATTAACTGACCAAAATATAGAATTCTTCTAAAGTTAAGATTTTTGAACGTTCTTCACAGTTGTTTGATATTACTTCATTAAGACGATCCATTAATGGCTTTAAATATATATCATCATTTATATTCATAGTTCGTGCATCTTTTTCGATATCATTAAATTTATTATTGATATCAACAATGTTAAAATTAATTTCATTGTCATTAATTATTGAAGGAATAACTTTGAAAAAAATGTACAACAAGTTTTCCATTGTCTCTTTGTTAGAGGCAACATATTCTAGTCTCATCTCAGCCATCTGTAAATATGATATTTTTAAAAAAAATTATATTTTTTTAAAAAGAAATTATATTTTTTGAAAAAGAAATTATATTTCTTTTAAAAATTAAATTTTAAGCATAAAAATTGTAAAATCTAGTTTAAAAATCGCAAAACAAATATATTCTGGATACTTACAACAACAAAAGTGCTGGTCGCAAACAAAAGAAGAATCCGACAAAAAAAATGATTCATTCTCAATTTTACTTAACAGCAAATTTAAATATTCACAAAGTAAAAGATTTTTCAGAACTATATTTTGTTTTTTAAGAAAGAAACATTTCAATGTACACATTAATCGTGATATTTGATAAATTTTATTTTCTTAAAAAGTAAATTCAGAAAAAAATTTTTTTTTTTGTGATAAAAATATTTTGCAAAATATAAAAATAATTTTGATACATTTTTTTTTTTTAATGAATATCCATTAAATTTATATTAAAGACATCAATTTTTCTTATAGTTCTATGTTATTTTTATGATTTAGTGAAGATTTTGTTTAATTTAGTTTATTACTTTTATATAATATTTAAGAAATAAATATTTTTTATAACTAGAGAAAAATATAATTCAGTCGTATGAAAAAAAAAATTTTCATCATTTTTTAAAACTTAAAACATTTTAAATTTTTCAGACAAAATTCAAATTCTTGTAAAGAATTTTATAAAAAAATTTTTAAATAACTAATTTCTTTCTACTAATTTTATGCAAATTCTAATATATAAATAATTGAATTGCTGAAAAGCATTTTATTATTTATATGAAAATAATTGAATTCTTGCGAAAGATTTTATTTGAATTTTTTAAAATAATTGAATATCCAAGAAAAAATTTATTACTTTTAAAAATAATTAAATTCTTGTGATGAATATATTGTTATTTATGAAAATAATTGAATTTCGCAAAGAATTTTGTTAAAATGCCTGAAAATAATTAAATTCCTCGGAAATAATTTTGTTATTTATCTTTAATAATTGAATTTTTTCGAAAAATTATTTATGTAAATAATTTATTTCTTTCGAACAATTTTATTAAAATATTTGAAAATAATTGAATTCTTGAGAAGAAGTTTATTATTTATGAAAATAATTGTATTATTGCGAAAATTTTTTATTAAAATGTAGAAAAAGAATTAAATTTCTGTGAAAAATTTTGTTATTTTTGAAAATAATTGAATTCTTGCTTAGAATTTTATAAAAAAAAAATTTTGTGAAAAATTGAATTTCCATGTAAAATGTTATTATTAGTGAAAGTAATTGAATTATAAGTGAAGAATTGTATAAAAATTGTGTTAAATAAGTGATTTTTTCGAAATTTTTTTGCTATTCTAAATTAATTGAATTTCTGTGGAAATTTTGTTATTTATGAAAATAATTGAATTTTGGATGAATTTTTTTCATTTTTTTTTAAATAATTGAATTTTATTGCGAAATTTTATGAAAATACTAGATATTGAAAATAAATGAATTTCGAATATTTTTTGAAAATAATTGAATTCTTGTGAAAAATTCTAATATTTTTGTAAATAATTGAATTCTTTAAAATATTTTTTAAAAAAACATTTTTTTAATTAATTTTTTTTTGTCGAACTGAAATTAAATTTTGAATAATTACATTTTTTTTTAGCAATTCCTGTAAAATTGTATTAAAAATAATTGAAATTCTACGATGAATTTTATTATTTATGAAAATAATTGAATTCTTGCTTAGAATTTTATTAAAATTTTTAAAAAGAATTGAATTTCTGTGAAAAATATTGTTATTTATGAAAATAATATAATAAGTAAAATTTTATTTTAAATAATTGAATTCTTGTGGGAAAACTTTTTGTGAAAATAATTGAATTTTTCGATTAATTAATTTAAAATAGTATTTAAAAATAATTGAAATTCTTTCATGATGAGTTTTTATTATTTATGAAAATAATTGAATTTTAGATGAATTTTATAAATTTTTTTTAAAAATAATTTAATTCTTTTGCGAAATTATATGAAAATACTAGATATTGAAAATAATTGAATTTCAAATATTTTTTTTGAAAATAATTGAATTTCAAATATTTTTTTGAAAATAATTGAATCGTTTTAAAGGATTTGATTATAATTTTTGAGAATTGTAAATAGTAGGTTTTAGTAAATAAGTACGAAGCCAGTAACATGAGATTTTTTTATTTGAAATTTCTTGTAGAAACAAAATTTTACCAAATCATTGCTTTTGATAGATAAAACAGTACAGAGCTAGTTACAGAACCAACAATACCAACAATTGTCGCCGTTAGTCCTGGCCAAGGATTATTCTTATTGAAAATTTTTTTGAAATAATTCTGCAACTATAAGAAAAAAATTACATAGTTTATAATTTATTCTTATGTATAATGCTGATCTATTTGTTTTATTTTTTTCTACTTTAATTTATAAAAATAAAATTTAATTTATAATTAATTACATTGCAATTTTCCACTGTTGTGTTATGCGCATCATTTGCCAATGCTGATAAATATGATACAGCCTTTTTTAAATTAATTAAATGTTTTTTGTCAGTTACAGTGCGATTTGACTCCCTCCAAAAATAAAATATTTCGTGAAATATATTATTGTAACTTTCTTTCACTTTTGATGGACACGGGTTCATTTTCAATGAAAGCATTATTCTGCTATACTGGTCTAAAGTGTAAAAAAGGCCTTTAGAAATGTCTTCTTTTAACAATTGCTGTAAACAGTTATAAAGAAACAGAAATGTATTTTTTGATATTTTTGAGAAATTAATTTTTAAATTTTGTTAAATTCCAAACTGTTTATAAAATGTTACACTTACAGATGCTGCCTTATTAATGATCTTCTCCTGGAAAAGTATAGAAAAATTAATAAAATCCCTAATTTTATTGACAAACAGGAATGTTTTTTTCATGTTATAAAATTTTTCAAAAAACGTTTTTTGCAAATATTATGAAAAAAATGTTCCGAGGGCAAAATAATTTCGCTTAATTTTGTAGAACTCACCGAAATGCATCTTTTGACACCTTATAGAACACTTTTCGGTGATATAAACAAAAGTTATTATCATTTAAAAAAATCAAAATTTTTAAAAATTTTACTGTTTTTGGTTTTTTGGTAATGACCTCAAAATTAATTGAATTTATTTTTCTTTATGTTCATAGTACCTTTTGAGGCGCATCTTCAAACCCCCTATTTAACAATTATCGGTACTAATAGCAAAAGTTATAAACATTGCAAAAAATCAAAAATTTATAAAAATTTCATTATTTTAGTAATAAATTGAAATTTTATTGTTTTTCTTTTTTAAGTTTGTAGTACTCTCCGAGATGTATATTTAAACACTTTATTGAACAATTGTCGATAATATTTGACAAAGTTATTATCATTTTAAAAAATCAAAATTATTTTAAAATTTAATTTTTTTGGTAATAAATTGACATTTAATAGTTTTTTCTTTTTCAAGTTTGTAGTACTCTACGAGATCTATATTTAGACACTTTATTGAATACTTTTCGATAATATTTGACAAAGTTATTAACATTTTAAAAAATTAAATTTTTTTAAAAATTTACTTTTTTCGTAATAAATTGACATTTAATTTTTTTTTCTTTTTTAAATTTGTAGTACTCTTTGATATGTATCTCTTGGCACCTTATTAAACATTTTTCAGTGATATTAGCCAAAGTTATTACCATTTTAAAAAATCAAAAATTTTAAAAAATTTAGTTCTTTGGTTTTGTTGGTGATGAATTGAAAGTTAATTTGATTTATCTTCCTCATGCTTTAAAGTACTTTTTGAGACGCATTTTTAAACCCCCTATTAAATACTTTTCAGTAATATTAGCAAAAGTTATAAACATTGTAAAAAATCCAAATTTTTCAAAAATTTACTTTTTTTTGGTAATAAATTGATATATTATTTTTTTTCTTTTTTTAGTTTGTAGTACTCTCCGAGATGTATCTCTTTACGCTTCATTGAAAACTTTTCGATAATATTTGCCAAAGTTATTAACATTTTAAAAAATAAAAAATTTATAAAAATTCCCTTTTTTTAGTAATAAATTGACATTTAATTGTTTTTTCTTTTTTAAGTTTGTATTACTCTCCGAGATGTATATTTAAACACTTTATTGAACACTTTTCGATAATATTTGACAAAGTTCTTAACATTTTAAAAATCAAGATTTTTAATAAATTTCCTTTTTTGGGGTTTTTGGTAATAAATTGCATGTTAATTGTTTTAATTTTTAAAAGGGACAATAATGCAATTTATAAAATTCATAAAATGAAAGGTTCACAAGGAAGCGAAGCATTCATAAAATGAACACAAAAATTGGAGTTTTAACTTTGCAGCTTTTTTTTGGATTATGTGAAAAAGAAGTGTGTTTAGCACTAACTTCAGGGACAATAATAAAAAAATATAAAAACAAAATTTTTAAATTTTTTTATAATATATTTCTTGAACTAACCCATATAATTATTTCATCTTTCGTTAAGTTTGTCCTAAATTCTGGATTGTCTTTTCCCTCAAATGTTTCGAAAAAATCATTTAGAGTCGTCACATTATTATTACTTTCTATTTTTTCCGTTATTGAAATATTATAAATATTTGTAATCATTTTGTCCACCACACTAATGTTAAATTTATCATTCACCAAAATTTTAGGAATAATTTTGTAAAAATCATAAAACAATTTGTCTATTATCTCCTTATTTTTCGCAGCATCATTATCTTTTAATGCAATTACCTGTAAATATTTAGTATTTTTAAAAAAATATTTCTTTCAATAGCCTATGTAAATTAAGTAAATTTTCATATTTTTACAACAGCAGTAAAATTTTAACTTACATAAGCAAAAATGCAAGTGACAAATAAAAGAAAATTCACCAAAAAAATATTCATTTTCACTTCTAGTTTATAAGCAAAAATTTAAATATTGTCTTCACAAACTAAAGAGAACTGCGTTTTCTTTTTTTTGCGAAAATTTCTTTTTCAATTTCGCATTATATATTTGTGCAAAATAATAAATTTTTTTATTCTTAAAACATAAAAATTTGACAGTATATATATATATCATTTTTTTTTTGCTGTAATAAAATTGTTTTTAAAGTAAAAAGCAATTTATTTTTTATTTTTCTTTCATGTATAGGTATATATCTGCAAGGTTTTATTTTTCATAAAATCAATGTTTTTAAATTTCTTTCTATTATCGAATGCTATGTATTTTTTAAAGTGAACTTATACAGTTTTTCTGATATTTGAAATAAAAACTTAAAAACTTCTTTTAATTTATAATATTTTTCCAAAATAAATTTCAAAAAAAAAGAATTTTTTTGTTGGGGATGCAATTTTTTTATTTTGTTTAAAAATTTATTTAATTTATTATTTTATAACAACTTTTAATATTTTATAAATAAATCGTGTGGTTCAAGGTCTTATAATGTGATTTCTGTTAAATTTAAAAATACCCCCCCCCCCACTCGTCTTATATTCTATATATATTGGACCCCTTGCGCGCCAACCCCCCATTTTTTAATTCGTTAATTTTATTAACCAGTTGGTTCTAACTTGACTAAATAAATAAAAAATTATAATTTTATAATCAATTTTACGATTTATGTAAATTTGATAATCATCAATCTTACAATTTTCATCAATTTTATCATAATCATTAATTATACGATTTTCATCAATTTCATGATTTTAATCTATTTATCATAATCATCAATTTTACGACTATTATGAAATTATTTTATTATCAATATTATATTATCAATTCTACGATTTTCGTAAATTTGATGATTTTCATCAATTTTATGATAAGTTTTCATTTTTACGATTTTTATCAATTTTATGATAATAATCAATTTTATAATTTTCATCAATTTTTCAATTTTCACCAATTTTATGTTTTTCATCTATTTATCGTCATCATCAATTTATCACAATAATATATTATTAATTCAACGATTTTCGTAAATTTGGTGATTTTCATCAATTTTAATGATAAATTTTCATTTTTACGATTGTTATTAATTTCTTGATAATCATAATTTTTTACAAATTTCATCAAATTTATTATAATCATCAAATTTTCAATTTTCACCAATTTTATGATTTTTGATATTTATCATAATTATCAATTTATTACAATTATCATTTTTACGACTATTATGAAATTATTATTATTATTATTATTTTTATTATTATTATTATTATTATTATTATTATTATTATTATTATTATTATTATTATTATTATTATTATTATTATTATTTTATTATCAATATTATATCATCAATTCAACGATTTTAGTAAATTTGGTGATTTTCATCAATTTTAGGAAAAGTTTCCATTTTTACGATTGTTATTAATTTCTTGATGATCATCAATTTTACGATTATCATCAATTTTATGATTATTATTAATTATTAATTTTACAACTTTTATCAATTTTATGATTTTCGTCAAATTTATGATAACTTTAATTTTACGATTTTTATTAATCTTATGACAAGTTGTATTATTAATATTTTTATTAACTTTATAATTATTGTCAATTTTATGATTTTTGTTAATTTTACGATTTTCTTCAATTTTACGTATTTTACGCGTATTATTGTTATTCATTAATCAATTTTTTTCAATTTGACGATTCTTATCAATTTTATGCATAAGCTTTTATTTTAACGATTTTTCGTAAATTTGATGATTTTCATTAATTTTATGATAATTTTTCATTTTTACGATTTTCATCAATTTCATGATAATCATCAATTTTACCATAATCATCAATTTTACGACTTTCATCAAAAAGTAATAATATAATGAAAAAATTTAATCAAAAATAATATCATAATAATCGTAAATTTGATGGAAATCGTAAGATTTACGATTATTAAATAAATAAATAAATTATGATACTTATAAACTAAATAAATAAAAAGTTAATATTTTATTATCAACTCTACTATCTATTTTCATAAAATTGACAATTTTTTCCATTTTTTTCGATTTTTATCAATAATTTAATGATAATAATCAATGTTACAATTTTCATCAATTTTATGATACGATTTTCATTAATTTTATGTTAATTATCAATTATATCATAATCATCAATTATACAATTTTCATCAAATTTATCATAATCATCAATTATACGACGATTATGAAATTATTATTTTATTATCAATATTGTATTATTAATTCTACGATTTTCATAAAAAAAAAATCAAAAAATCAGAGTTTTTATTACTTTCTATTATCAAATGTTATGTATTTTTCAAAATGAATTGTATAGTTTTTTTTTATATTTGATATAAAAAAAAATTTTTTGAAAAATTATAAATATAATTTTTTTTTATTTTCATTGTTTCCAGAAAAATCGTATTGTTTGAAAAGAGGGAATAAAAGAGGAGGGGAAGAGAGGAAAATAATGGTAAAAGAGAAGAATTTTTAAAAAAAGACAAGAATTTAAAAAAAAAAATTTTTAAACAATTGTTAAAGGAAAAAAAATTTTTTTTTAAATTATGAATATAAATTTTATCTTTTTTTTATATCTTAATTGTTTCTAAAAAAGTCGTATTGTGTGAAAAGAGGGGGTAGAAGAGGGGGAAGAAAGGAGAAAATAATGGTAAAGGAAGAGAAGATTTTTTTTCAAAAAAAAGACAAGAATTAAAAAAAAAAAAAAAAAAATTTTTGTTTTAAGAAAAAAAATTGAGAATTTTTTAAAACAAAACAGTATAATTATAACTTTTTAAGGAGAAATAAATTATCACATTTTTTATAAGGTGAAAAAAATTGTAACAGAATATTTAAAAAAATTATGAATGTAAATTTTTTTTATTTTAATTGTTTCTAGAAAAATTGTATTTTGTGAAAAGAGGAGGTAGAAGAGGGGGGAGAGAGGACAATAATAGTAGAGAAAGAGAAGAATTTAAAAAAAAGGCAAGAAAATTTTTTTAATAAAAAAATTTTTTAAAAGAAAAAAAATAATATGATTTTTTTTTTTTTTTGATCTCAATTGTTTCTAGAAAAATCGTATTGTGTAAAAAGAGGGGGTAGAGGAGGAGGGGGGAGAGAGAAAAATAATGGTAAAGGAAGAGGAACGAAGAAGGTTGATGGAGGAAGGCTCCTTTTCTTTTGACGAGTCTGTTTTTCCTCTTGAACGTCTATTTTCATCTCTCTCTCCCCCCCTGTCCCACTCACTCTCTCTCTCTCTCCTTCTTTTCTCTATCTCGCTCCCTTTTCTGAAAACGCTACTCCGAAATTTTTCGTTGGTAACCCCCTTGTCACACATTTGGTATCATCTCCACCTAAAAAGGTAGATTGGCCCAGTAACTAACGAGCATTCTGATTGGTCGATATTGTGAGCCAATCATTATTTTCGTTACAAGCTAGGATCACGTTGCACGCGCTTATATTGGGAGCTTTCGCTTCTCTCCCTGACAGAACGGCTCTCTAACGTAAGTCCTTCACGTCGGTTGTTTTTTTCAAAAAAAAAAAAAAAAAAATTTTTTTTCAAACTCAATAATTGAAAGTTATTTTTTTTAAATTTCTCTTTTTTTCATAAGTAAAAAAAAAAGAAAAATTTTCCATATAAATCTCATTGTTTTTAGAAATTCTTTCGTTTTTATTTCCTAAAAGTTTTTTTTTTGCCCTCCCCCCCATCGATTGTTACATTAAATGACAAAATTTTTAGAAGAAAAAAAATTTTTTTTTGTTGCAACGTGCGAGAACATTGGGACGAAATCGTCGGAAGAAATTAAGAAAGAGAGAAAGAGAGAGAGAGAGAGAAAGTGTTTAAAATTTAAAGTAGAGAGGAAAATAAAAGTGCAGTTATTTCCGGTGCGGCGGTGATTGACAAATTTTGTCGAAAATGTGAAAAAAAAAGTTTTTTTTTTGTTTTTTTTTTGGTTTGTGACTCGATTCCAAAAATTGTGACACACAAGGATTACGAAAATAGTGTTTCTTCGTATTTTTGTGATGAGAGACATTTGAACTATTTTTTTTTTGCTCTTTTAAATCTTGGTGTATTTTGGATTTTTAACCGGAAACAACAAATTCTTGAGGAGTATTCCATTGTGAAATTAATTTTCGCTGCTGATATTTTTTTTTAAACTTTCAACATTGAGATTAATTTTTTTCTGATGATCTAGTCATCAATTGATGACGCTGATGATGTTCTTGATAGTTTTGATGATTTTTATAAATTTGTTTTATCAACATGAAAAAATATTTTTTAACATACTATCAATTCGGAAAATAAAAATAAATATTTATTTATTATTAATTTTTTCATCGATTCCAATTTTAATAATAATAAAAATAATGATGAAGACAAAAATTTTTGGTTTAAGTCTCAATATGATAAACATTTATTTCAAATTAAAATTAACAAACAACTATGCTAATAATGAATTTCGAAAAAATTTTAGTAGCCTTTTTTGATAATTATCAATTTTTATCACAATCATCAAATTCTACTTTTCATCATCAATTTCTATGATAATGATCAATTTCATTGAGAATCATCAATTGCTATGATAATGATCAATTTCATTAAAAATCATCATGTTTATGAATTTCATCATTTATATGAATTTCATCATCTTTATGATTGTCATCAGTTTTATGATTGTCATCAGTTTTATGATTTTCATCAATTTTATGAATTTCATCAGTTTCACGACTTTTGTCAATTTTATAAGTATCATTAGTTTTATGATTTTTATCAATTTTACAAGAGTAATGAATTTTACGATTTTCATCAAATTATGATAATTATTAATATTCTGATTTTCATCAATTTAAAAAATTTTTATTAAGTTTATGATGAACGTTAATTTTATAATTTTTCACAATTTTAAAATGTTCATCAAATTAATGAATTTCATCAGTTTTATGATAGACGTTAATTTTAGAATTTTTCACAATTTTCATCAACTTTTATAATGATTAAATTATAAGCAAATCATTAAATTCTATGATACAGTAAACATCAGTTATAGAATAAATTGTATGACAATCATTAATTTTATGACAATCGTCAAATTCTTGATAATCGTCAATTTTAAGAAAATAATTAGTATTACTATTTTTCGTCAATTTTTAAAGTAATTATCAACTTCACGATTTTTTATTAATTTCATCTTTTTTTTATGCTTTCATAAATATTCAAATTTAGAATGTTATTAATTTTATGAGAATCATCAATTTTATCATAATAATTAATTTTACAATTTTCATCAATTTCGTCATAATCATCAATTTTACTATTTTCAATTATTTTATGATAAGAGACAATTTTTTGATTTACATCATTTTTAGCATAATTATTATCAATTTTATTATTTGCAATTTATCTTATGATAATCATCAGTTTTACAATTTTTGTCAATTTTATCATAATCATCAAATTTACGTTTTTTTCAACAATTTTATATTTGTTATCAATTATACAATTTTCATCAATTAATTGATTTTCATCAATTTTATAAGTTTATATTTTTACGATGTTTGCAAATTTGATGATTTTCATTAATTTTATGATACATTTTCTATTTACGTTTTTCATCATTTTCATAATAATCATCAATTTTGTTATAATCATCAATTTTACGACTTTCATAAAAAAATAATAATATAATGAAAAAATTTAATCACAAATAATGTCATAATAATCGTAAATTTGATGAAAATCGTAAAATTTACGATTATCATGATATTTATAAACTAAATAAATAAAAAGTTATTATTTTATTATGAATTCTACGATTTTCATGAATTTTATCATAATCATCAATTTCATGATTTTCATCAATTTATCATTATCATCAATTATACGACGATTATAAAATTATTATCATTATTTAATTATCAATATTATATTATTAATTCTACGATTTTTGTAAATTTGATGATTTTCATCAATATTATTATAATCATCAATTTTACAATTTTTACCAATTTTGCGACAATTATGATATTATTATTTTATTATTAATATTAATATATTAATATATTAATTATTAATATTAACCTTTAAAGTGCTATATGACGAAAAATCAAGCTCCATGCTACCCCCGGTCTGTCAGACCGCTATTCCCTTTTTTTACGGATTTTTAGTCATTTGTAATTTTCTAAAGACACTATTGTAAATATTTTTTACTTTTTAACATGAAAAAGTCATTTCTACATTAATTTGATTCAATTTTTTTTATTTTTACATATTTTACAATACAAAATTTAAAGAAAAAATTTTTTTGAAAAAGTTGTCACTTAATAGATTTTTAGAAAATATGAAGCTACTGAAAATCTCAAGTTCGTATCTTACTTTGAAAAAAGTTGCAAGCAAAGAAAATTTTTATAGCGGTCTGTCAGACCGGCATAGCACTTTAAAGGTTAATATATAATATAATAATTAATATATATAATAATATTAATATTAATATATTAATAGATAAATAAATATTATGTTTTCAATTCTACAATTTTTGTCTATTTTATGATAACTTTAATCTTCTTATTTTCATAAATTTTATCATAATCATCAATTTTACGATTATTATTATTATTATTATTATTATTATTATTATTATTATTATTATTATTATTATTATTATTATTATTATTATTATTATTATTATTACTATTATTATTTTATTAAAATTATATTATTTTTCAATATTAAATTATCAATTCTACAATTTTTGACAATTTTATAATTTTTATTAACTTTATGATATGAATTTTATGATTTTCATCAATTTTATGATTTTCATTAATTTTATGATATGAATTTTATGATTTTTATTAATTTTATGATATCCATTAATTTTATGACATCAATTTTATGATTTTCATTAATTTTATGATTTTCATCAATTTTAGGGTATCATCAATTTTATGATTTTGATCAATTTAATGATTTTCATGAATCTTATGATTATTATCACTTTAATGATTGTTGTTAATTTTGCAAATTTTTTAAATTTAATGATAATAATAATAATGAGTTATTTCTATTAATTAGAATAATTTTTTTTTAATATTATCAATCGTAATCACAATTCTCCTTCTTTCATGATAATCATTAATACTTATACTATTTTAATTAAAAATGATGACAATATTGTTGGTAATGATTAAAATTAAATGTATGATAATAATTATGAAAAAGATTTGCAATAATAATTATGATAATGATTATGATAAAGATTATGATAACAATTATTATTATAATAATGAACATGATAGAGATTATTATAATGATTATGTTAATGATTATGTTAACAATTATAATGAATATGATAAAGATTATGATAATGATTATGTTAATGATTATGTTAACAATTATAATGAATATGATGATGAATATGATAATTATTATGATTCTGATTATGATAATGATTATGTCAATGATTCTATTAATAATTATGATTGTGATGATGATTATAATAATTATTATGATAATGATTATGATAATTATTATGATAATGATTATGATAATTATTATGATAATGATTATGTTAATTATTATGATCATTATTATGTTAATTATTATGATTTTATCATTATGATACTGTATATGATAAGGATTATGCTAACAATTATAATGATTGTGATGATGATTATGATAATGATTATGTCAACAATTATAAGATTGTAATGATGATTATGATAATGATTATGTCAACAATTATAAGATTGTAATGATGATTATGATAATGATTATGTCAACAATTATAAGATTGTAATGATGATTATGATAATGATTATGTCAACAATTATAAGATTGTAATGATAATTATGATAATGTTTATGTCAATGATTATGTTAACAATTATAATTGTGATGATGATTATGATAATGATTATGATAATGATTATGTTAATTATTATGATAATGATTATGTTAACAATTATAATAATTGTGATGATGATTATGATAATTACTATAATTCTTATTATGATAATGATGATTATGTCAACTATTATAAGACTAATGATGATTATGATATTGATTATGATCATGATTATGATGAAATATGATGACAATAATTTCGACGAATGTTCTAAAAAAAATCTCTCCTAAATCTTAATTTTCCAAAAATAAAGAAATCCCCAAAAAATCTCCTGCAGCGAAGAATAACGTTGAGTTGGGGGGGGGGAGGGTAGAGTGGAAGGGAGAAAATGATGTGTTGAAGAAAAAGAACATAAAAGGTCGTGAAAGGGGGGATGAGTATTGGTGGCGTTTTCGGTACCTCGTTCTCCACGTTGCAACGCGACGTTGACCCCGACTAAAATACGTGAGAGCTTTTTCTAGAAGAGGGAGGGGGAATTAAAAGTGAATTTTGTCTACAGGGCCGCCCAGATCGTGCCGCCAGAAGTAGTCCGTCCGCCGCCGAAGCCAGAAGAAAAAAAAAAATAAATAAGAAGAGGAAGGAAAATTTTTGAAAAAGAAAGGAATACGCACGAAATTAGAAGAAAAATAAAACGACGACGACTACTTTGAAAAATAAAAAATTTTTTTTTTTATTTATTTACTTGAACGAGTAGAGGAAAAATAAAAATAAAAAAATAGGACCTTAATACAAAGTGTTAATAAAAAAAAGGAAAAATAATTTTTTGTGGGCAAACGAAAAAAATTGAGGAAGTGTAGAAAATAAAGAAGACAAGATGCCGAGGCCAGTAGTACAAGAAGGAGAGGATCCCGATCCAACTCCATATCTCTTCGTTTCACTTGAACAGAAGAGAATCGATCAAACTAAGCCTTATGATGCGAAAAAAGCTTGCTGGGTCCCCGATGAAAAGGAAGGATATCTTCTTGGTGAAATTAAAGCCACCAAGGGCGAATTGGTTTCCGTCACTTTGCCTGGCGGCGAGGTATGTAATATTTTTATTTTTCTTTTCGTAAAAAAATTTTTTTTTAAATTAATTTTCTTTAAATATTTTTTTTCAATTTCCATTTGCAAGAAAAGAAATTTTAACTCAAAGGGAAAAATTTTTATTTTACTATTTAAAAACTGTAAAAATATTTGCGGAATTTCTGTCTATTTTCTTTTTGTTTTCGTGGTAAATTTTACTGAATTTACTAATTTTGTTAAGTTTACTAATTATTTATTTATTAATTTATTAAATAAATAATTTTAGTAAATATTTTAATAAATATATTTTAGTAAATATTTTAGTTAATATTTTAGTAAATATTTTAGTTAATATTTTAGTAAATATTTTAGTTAATATTTTAGTAAATATTTTAGTAAATATTTTAGTAAAAATTTTAGTAAATATTTTAGTAAATATTTTAGTAAAAATTTTAGTAAATAATTTTTAGTAAATATTTTGGTAAACAGTTTTTAGTAAATATTTTAGTACATAATTTTCAGTAAAGATTTTAGTAAATATTTAGTAAATATTTTAATAAATATTTTAGTAAATATTTAGTAAATATTTTAATAAATATTTAAGTCAATATTTTAGTAAATATTTAAGTAAATATTTTAGAAAGTGTTTTAGTAAATAATAATTATTAGTAAATATTTTGATTAACAGTTTTTAGTAAATATTTTAGTAAATAATTTAGTACATAATTTTTAGCAAATATTGTAGGAAATACTTTTTGTAAAATTAAAAAAACATTTTTTTAGTTCAAGTTACTAATTTTAGTAAAATGTATAATTACTAAATAATTTAGTAAAATATATTTCAGTAAATTATTTATTAAAATTATTTTTAGTAAATAATTTAGAAAAATATATTTAGTAAATAAATTAGTAAAATATATTTAGTAAAAAATTTAGTTAAATATATTTAGTAAATAAATTAGTAAATTATATGTAGTAAATAATTTAGTAAAATATATTTAGAAAATAATTTAGTAAAATATATTCAGTAAATTATTTAGTAAAATTATTTTTAGTAAATAATTAAGTATATAATTTTTAATAAATATTATGGTAATTACATTTTTAAATATGCTAGTAAATACAGTTTATTAGATTTATTTTAGTAAATACATTTTATTAAACATTTTAGTAAACATTTTAGTAAACATTTTAGTAAACATTTTAGTAAATAATTTTTAGTAAATACCTTAGTAAATAAATTTTAGTTAAAAATTACAAATATCTAGTAAATTTTTACTAATTTTCCCCAAATCTTAAAAGAATTATTATTTTATTGTAATTTTTACTAATTTTCAATGAAAGATTCTTAGTGAAATTAAGAGAATTAGTTGCAAGTAAATTTTACTAATTTTTACTTAATCTCCCCCCCCCCCTCTCCCCTTCTTATAAATGAAAAAAGTAAAATTTATTTCGAAAATGCAGAGAAAAAAATGACATAGTAGGGCAAGAATTTCAATAAATTTCTCATTTTAATTATAAAAATTTATAAATATTTAAAATTTACTATTTTCCACAAATAGTATTACAGAATTATAAAATTTTTTTGTTTTTTAAAAAAATTCCAAATATTTAACTGTTTGAAAAATTACTGCTTTTTTAGTTGTATAAATTACTTTAATTTTTTTTTTAATTGTAAAATATTTTAATAATATTTAATCATCAAATTAAATAGAAAAGCAATAAAATTTTTTTCTAAATTTACTTTTGATTGTGTGCAAAATTTCATTTCTATTTTTTCATTCGAACCAAAATTTGTGAATGGAAATTAATTTTTTTTTATGCATTTAATTATAAAAGTCTGTTTTATTTTTCAAATTTGTAAACTTTTAATTGTGTTTATAATTTTTTTTGTTTATTATTATTATTATTATTATTATTATTATTATTATTATTATTATTATTATTATTTTTATTATTTTTATTATTTTTATTATTTTTATTATTTTTATTATTTTCATTTTTTTTATTATTTTTATTATTTTTATTATTTTTACTATTATATGTTATTATTTTTTGTTTATTATTTTTATTATTATGTATTATTATTGTTTAAAAACTATTTTTATTATTACTTGATTTGACAATATAGTTGTTAATTAATTTGAAAGAGGAAATAAATAATTGTTAAAGAGTGAACGATCCAAGCCGGAAGATATTTGAATAATTTGCGCGCACACTCTCTGATACGATTGTGCCAAGAAAGATTTCTCGAACCTTCTTGACTTGTTCTCTAGAGAAAAAAAAATTATTTTCTCAGTTCTTTTATTTTCTTTTGATAAATTAAATTTTTTCTATTATTAGCCGATAATCTATTTATTCATATTGTTAGAATTTTTTTCCGATATATTTTAATAATTTTTTTTTTTTTTTTTTTGACTCCTTGGTTAATTTTTTTGTTTTCGTTGATATTTCCAATCGTTTCTTTTACCAAACTGTTGAAAATTTGCCAATTTTGTTTGTTTTCCCCGCTTCGATTATTAGAATTCGAGAATCGAGTTACGCCACTTCCCATTGATCTCAAAGCTGAAAATTATTTTTTAATCCTTTCCCATTTTTTTTTCTTTTTGATATTTTTATTTTCTTTTTCGAATTTCAGTTACTTCTTATCTCACTCCATTTGGAAAATACTTTTCTTTAAAGTTCTCCCCGTTTATTTTCTTAGAATTCATTCTCTCCTCTTCCCTTTGTTTTCAAAGAAGAAAATTCTTCCTTTATTTTTGTTTTTTTATATTAGTTCTTATTGGATTATTTCTTCTTTTTTGAATTTTTAGTTGCTTCTTTACTCACTCCATCTAAAAACATATTAGTTAATTAATTTTCAAAAGTTTTTTTTCTAGAAATTACATTGCTCCACTTCCCTTTAATAGTCCCCCTCCTTCTACTTCTCCTCCATTGAAAAATTCCTTTTGTAATCAATTCTCCTCTGTCCATTTTATTGAAAACTTGTTTTTAGATTCTTCCTCTCAATTCTTTCTGCAGTCCCCCCCCCTTAAATTATTTCTTAAGACTATTCCTTCGCCATTACACTTTTCCTTTTTTCTTTTCAATTCTTTAAACCTATTACCTATTAAACTTCCCTTTATACCTATCGTCTCCTCCTTTGATCTCTTCGATTCTTCATCGCCAGCCTCCCTTAATAATTTTCCTACTCCTTTCTTTACTTTTTTTACTCCTTTTCTTTACACTTCACATTTTTCCCCTAAACTAAAAATAGTTAATTTTTGGAATTTAATAGTATTTTTCGATGGAGTAGACCAAGGAGAGTAAAGAACTCCAAGAATAGGAAAAAAAATCGAGGAAGAATTAAAATTAACCCCATTTTCAACCAATAGTTTTTTTAACATAATATAAAAAATCGTTACTTTAGCCAAATATTCCAAAGATAGTGAATGTAAAAAATAAATTTCGATGGAGTGACTCGAGGGAAAGTAAATAATTATTGAAAAAAGTTAAGACACGAAGTTACTACCCCAAAAAATCTTTAACGGAAGTCAGTGAATTAATATTCTAACCTAAAAATCAATAACTACTGAATTAATAAAATATTTTTCGATGCATTGACTCGAGGTGGAGTGAAAGTACCCAAAGAAATCGAAATCCTACTAAAGGCTAGAAAAGGGAAATCGAAAAATTAATTTCCTAACCTAAAAATTAGTAATTAGGGAACAGAAAGTTATTTCTTCGTCAAGTGACTATGGGAGCATTAGAATGACACAAAAAGAGTCCAAAAAAGTCGAGGAAGAATTAAAATTAATTCCATTTTTAATCGAATGATAGTTAACGGAAAGTCAAAAATCAATTTCCTAACCTAAAAATCAGTAATAACAGAATAGAAAATTTATTTTTTGGTTCAGTGATGCAAGAAGTAAAGAAACCTCCAAGAAAACTTGAGGAAGAATTAAAATTAACGCCAATTTTAATAAAACAATTGTTACCGGAAAATCGAAAATCAATTTTCTAACCTCAAAATCAGTAATTATGGAATTAAAAATTATTTTTTGCTCAAGTGACTCAAGGGGAAGAAAAGACATTCAAGAAAAGTCCAAAAATGTCGAGGAAGAATTAAAATTTACCCCATTTTTAATCAAACGGCAATTTAACGGAAAATCGAAAATCAATTTCCTAACCTAAAAATGAATAGTTACTGAAATAAAAATTTATTTTTGGATGGAGTGACCTGAGGAGAAGTAAAAAAAATCCTAAAAAGAAGGAAAACAAACCAAATTGTTAACAAAATTGTACATATTGTTCCCTTAACGAATAGTTAAAAACCAATTTCCTAACCTAAAAATCAGTAATTACGAAATAAAATATTTTTTTTGGTCGTGTGACTCAGGGAGTATTAGCACCTAAAAAAAATTCCAAAAAAGACGAGGAAGAGTGAAAATTAACCCCATTTTTAATCAAACGAAAGTTAACGGAAAATCGAAAATCTATTTTCTAACCTAAAAATCATTAATAACTGAAATAAAAATACATTTTTCAATGGAGTGGGTCAAGAAGGTATCAAAAAAATAAATTTCAAAAAATTTCGAGAATTCTAATTAAAAAAAAAAAAAAAGTTAAAATAGAAAAACAATGTTTTTTGAAGGACGTGTTTGGTGATTTCGTGTATAAAAAAAAATGAGCGGGTGTATGGTGATGAGGAGGAAGAGAAGAGAAGAGGGGGGGGGAATTATTTCAGGGACGGGAGACGCTGGCTAAAAGAGGAAAAACGTTTTAGCGATACAACACTAGGAGAATATGTGTGTGTTTATGTGTGCACTATATATATATTTAAGCTAAAAGGTAGGGTGACGCCGGGCGTTGGCGTAATCACCACCACCATACCGTATCGGGTCGCTCTGACTCTATTTCAAGAACAGAATAACACCTTCGGGACTCGCGACCCTCTATAACGCTGACCATACGTAGACACTGGCAAAAAAGGGTGGGAGAGTGGGGGGTGGAGAAAAATAAAAGAGAATCGCCTCCTCG